CTTTTGTTTTACATGCTATTGTTAATCTCTCCTCTTGGTAAGGGAAAACAGAAAAGAAACTCTTCTGTCAAGTACTCCTTCCAAGTCAATGAAGAATCTGCTCTGTTAATTTCTCAGACAATGTGTGGTCAATACAAGTTTATTTTCTATCTGGATTATAATAACCAGCCAGCTCTGATTTATGCATAGGTTTTGATCACAAAAGGTATGACCTTGTCTAGTTAAGAAGCTCGTTGTGTTTCTGCTAAATGTTATTTTCAAAACAAACAAACAAACAAACAAACAAACAAACAAACAAACAGAAAAGACAATGGTTCCCAGTTCAGCTCATCATTCACAAATAGTCGGATGTATAACCCCACCTGCATCAAATGACATATTCAGCTAATTCAGTGGGAACCATTTGAGGATCACAATGCAGGGAAGACCTCCATCATTGGATTCAATTGCAGGAGTTTGCATCTGCTTTCAACATTTCCAGAAATATGGGCTATCCAACTCTTCCACAGATTTACATGCACAATTTGTGAAAGGCCTTTTTAAAAGGCGCCCTATTAACTCACATGCTTGTACAATGCAAAACGGTCAGCACCATCTCAGGAGAGGCATTCCTCTTTCTCACACAGGAAGTGATGCTTCTTCTAAGATTATCCTTGGTGCAAATGTCTGTGCAATATCCAAATCCCCAAAGCTTGCTTTTAAATTCTGTACTATTTCACAGCTTTGCATGTTTGATTTCACCGGCTGAACTTCACGCAACTCATTTCTTTCATCCGAGGACCACCCTCATTTGAATAGCACAGACTAAAAATGCATTTTGCACTCCCATGAAAAAGGCAGCAGTTATCTGCAGATTTACTCACCTGCCCAGCAACAGGAATTCTCCAGTGAGGCCCAAGCGCCTCATAGCCATCAGCAGCCCTCGTACTGTCATGCCCTCACAGAAGCACACCACAACTCTCGCCTTGGGCAAATGGCTTCTCAGCTTCTCCAATAGCCTATCAAAGCTCTGCTCGCCGGCGTTGCTGTAGATCTTGTAGGAATGGGCGATGCAGACCCCCTCCTTGCCCGACATGTCTTTGAAAGCTTCCATTCCACTTTCACCATAGTTTCCTGAGAGAGAAGAAGAAGAAAACGCACACAAAGACATTAGCAATAAGGTTCCTAAGGGGTGATAATCTAGGCAGCGCCCTCATTTTATGCAACTGCAAATTGTCAGGATCAGGCATTAAGTGTGGGGGCACGTACCCTTTGGAACTCCTTGCCAGTGCCTATCTGATAAGTGCATTCTCTGCTCTTTCTGGCACCTGCTAGTGTGGTGTAGTGGTTAGGAGCCATAGACTCGTAATCTGGTAAACCGGGTTCGTGTCCCCGCTCCTCCACATGCAGCTGCTGGGTGACCTTGGGCTAGTCACACTTCTTTGAAGTCTCTCAGCCTCACTCACCTCACAGAGTGTTTGTTGTGGGGGAGGAAGGGAAAGGAGAGTGCTAGCCGCTTTGAGACTCCTTCAGGTAGTGATAAAACGGGATATCAAATCCAAACTCCTTCTTCCAACAAACCTTCTAAATGGAGTTTTTTTTTATCCCCACTGGCGTCTGTATTGGATTTGATTTTATATATGTGCAAATGTGGTTTAAAACTGTGTTGTTGTTTTTTTAAAAAATATTTTTACATGTGCAGTTGTTTTAACAGTCTATATAGAATTTTTTTATATATATATTTATTATATTGCAAAATGCTTCAGGGTACTTTGCAGGAAGAGATTCATAAATGAAATAATAAGAAGGGTGTTATACAGCTAAGTTTTACTCAGACTCACTGAAATGAGTGAGGTTGAGTAAGTCATTTCAATGGGTATGCTCTGAGAAAAACCTAGTTGCATACCACCTAATGATATTAACCGTAGCAGCAGTACTGATTCAGTGTGCAAAACTTGGGGACTTAAAACTGGATGAATCAGATTCAAGCCTTTCAAGATACGTTTCAGAGATATTCAGGCAAAACGTCTGGTTTCAGCCCCATTTTCCTTCTTAAAAACAACAACAGCAACAACCACCCCTCTCACAAAGCTGTTCTGAGGACAAAAGAAAAGGGCAATTGTGATTTTATAGCATTTCTGTTCATTTTGCAATTGCATAAGCTCCTGTGAGCTGGAACATGTACCATTATCCCAATGGGTAAAGTGCTTACATGTGTTCTCTCTGGGTCTCGCCGTTTATTTCCATACATATGGCTCTATTTGCATATAGCATTGCCATGCTACGGACTCCAGGCCAGGCAGGGTGCATCTCTGGTATCCTAATGTTGCGTGCCCAGGCGGAGACCCCCCCCCAACCCCAGGCGACACCCGAGTGGAATAATGACTCATGACAACGTGTTATGGGATTAAAATTGGTCACAATTTTATTAAACTTTCAGATGTAGGAAGATCTTGGCTTAAGCATTGGGCATTTATCCCTCCCAGTCCCTGGCTGGGGTTCTGGGGCACATTGCGTCTGGGGATTGGGCTGGCTCTGGAAGACGTATGTTTAAGCCCCCCATTTCACTGCAACACAGGGGAATGCACTGACAACCTTTCAGCGAATGGCCAGTGACTCCCCTCAACACAACCCCTTTAACGGAGAACCCTGGGATCACCGCTGCCTTACCACCACAGTGGTACCTATTTATCTACTTGCACTTTGACGTGCTTTTGAACTGCTAGGTTGGCAGGAGCAGGGACCAAGCAATGGGAGCTCACCCCGTTGTGGGGATTCAAACCGCTGACCTTCTGATCGGCAAGCCCTAGGCTCTGTGGTTTAACCTACAGCGCCACCCAAGTCCCTTTGCATACCATACATCCCTGCATATTTTACATGAACTAAACCATTCCACAATCCATGGTTACATCCATCAAAACTTATTAACACTGTTGAATTTATCTTAATGCTACCTGAGTTTTTAAATGAACACAATTTTTATCCATATATTCAGTAAACATTTTCCAGTCTTCTTTAAACGCGCATTCTTCTTGTTCTCTTATACTATATGCTAGCTGTGCGTATTCCATCAGTTTAAGTTGCCATTCTTCTTTGGTTGGGACCTCACTCATTTTCCATTGCCTTCAGATGTCTTCTAAAGACTGCAAAGTTACTTATCTCCTTGGCTCAGGGGTCGCATAACTCCATACCCTCCAACATTTCGCCGATGAAAATAAGAGACATGGATGGCGCTGTGGGTTAAACCACAGAGCCTAGGACTTGCTGATCGGAAGGTCGGTGGTTCGAATCCCCGTGACGGGGTGAGCTCCCGTTGCTCGGTCCCTGCTCCTGCCCACCTAGCAATTCGAAAGCACGTCAAAGTGCAAGTAGATAAATAGGTACCGCTCTGGCAGGAAGGTAAATGGCATTTCCGTGCACTGCTCTGGTTCGCCAGAAGCGGCTTAGTCATGCTGGCCACATGACCTGGAAGCTGTACGCCGGCTCCCTCGGCCAATAAAGCGTGATGAGCGCCACAACCCCAGAGTCAGCCACGACTGGACCTAATGGTCAGGGGTCCCTTTACCTTTACCTAAGGAAAAGCGGGAGATTCTAGGATCACATCAGAAGTTGGGATGGCTTCTGTCAATCTGGGGCTGTCCCTGGAAGATAGGGATCCTTGGTGGGTTTGGGATGGGAGCTGTGGCCCAACCACATTTGGAGGGCCTCATTTTCTCCATCCTTCCACGACACTCAGCACCTACAGTCCAAAGCCGGGGAAAGTGCTGTTGAATTGTTGGCCTCTGAAGTGTTGAGCTCAGTAGCCGTTTCCCAAATTTCTCAGCCATTTGGGCATCAGATGAAACACAGCTGCTGCCTCTGATGTGTGAAACAGCTTGAAGCAGAGTTGCTTTCGCAAGCAGAGAGGTAAGCTGCCTCACCTAAGACGAGGGGGAAGCGCTTTGGAAAGGATGAGTGCTCTTAGCGAGGTGTTATGAATTTCGGCATTGAAGGAAAAAAGAAAACAGGGGGTGGGGCTAGCCCTATCTCTTGCAGCTTAATTCCGGCACTGAGAAAAAAGGAACCAAATTCGTTCAGTTGGGAATGGTATAGCTGCACATTGCAGTTTGTGTGTTTGTGCTGGAGGGGTTGCAGAGGAAAAAAACACACGCCACAGCATTGCAATCAAGACATCTCCGTTCCCAAATACTTGTCATATATAAGCTATGCCTAATTAACTTTTCATCTGAATAATCCCAGCGGTGGAGGAGAATTTCTGAGAGAACATGTATATTTAATTGCAATTATGTGGGAGAGAATAATGGGGAAGGGGGAATCATTGTGGAAAAATGGACTTTCATGTGTGTTGCGGTTGTTTTCCCAAACAATGGGACACTATTTTCAAAAGTTTCTTGCAGCAGAGGCTGGTCCATTCTGGCAAACTGTGTACTTCCCCACCAACCTCAGTCTGCCCTCAGCCAAGCCTCAGATGTCTCAGTGGCGGACCTTGAGGTCTCAAATTTCAGCGGCGCCAGGTGCAGTGTCGAAATTTGGCACCCCGCGTCTCTTGCTCCTTTCTAAATAATCATAGAATCATAGAATTGTAGAGTTGGAAGGGGTAGGCAACCTAAGGCCCGTGGGCCGGATGTGGCTCAATTGCCTTCTCAATCCAGCCCGTGGATGGTCCAGGAATCAGTGTGTTTTTATATGAGTAGAATGTGCCCTTTTATTTAAAATGCATCTCTGGGTTATTTGTGGGGCCTGCCTGGTGTTTTTACATGAGTAGAATGTGTCCTTTTATTTAAAATGCATCTCTGGGTTATTTGTGGGGCCTGCCTGGTGTTTTTACATGAGCAGAATGTGTCCTTTTATTTAAAATGCATCTCTGGGTTATTTGTGGGGCATAGGAATTCATTCTTTTTGTTTTCTCTTCAAAATATAGTCCAGCCCACCACATGGTCTGAGGGATGGTGGACTGGCCCATGGCTGAAAAAGGTTACTGACCCCTGAATAATAGTCCAACCCCCTGCAACGCAGAAAAATGCAGTTGTCCCATATGGGGATTGAACCTGCAACCTTGGCATTATCAGCACCATGGTCTATCCAACTGAGCTATAGTTGTGGCATCCCTAAATCAGCCTCTGCCCTAAATCAGCCTCTGCCTGCCTACCTTCTTCTGCTACCTGCCAGTTCCCTCTGCAGTTCCACTGTTGCCTTTGTAGAACTCGACAGAGAGGAGGATTGGGACGCAACTAGAATTTGTTGTCTCTGCCTCTCACTGGGTCCGGCAAATCTTTTAGGTGACATTGCCCTGCTGTTGGTCTTTCTGCCTCCTGCCCTACCAGTTCCAATGGGCACCGGCTACTGGCAAAGTCACTTAAATAATGCAGACTAGAGAGCCCAGAAGGAAAATAAATTCCCAACAACACTTTATGGAGGAAATGAGTACATAACTAGAGGGGGAAAGGAACAGGGAGGTTTTGTTTTTTCTTACTTCGGGCCTTGTACATAGCAGGGAAACAGCCAAACAAACAGAAAGAGGAAAAACTCACTCAGTGGATGGAACTCATAGGCACAGAAGATCCTCCAGCTTGGGTTACGTTTGCCAAATTGCATGCAAGCCCAGGGGCTTTTTGGAATTCCAAACAGGGGGAATGGAGGTCAGTAATATATAGGGTGAGAGGGGTAGGAGAGAGAGAGATCTGCACCCATTTATCTGCAGGCAGTAGCACTACTGTGCTATTCTGTTGTGAAATTTTCTTTTCGTAAGTGGCCTTGAGTGATATTTCAGGAGGAAGTTAGGGGACAGATATTCAAAACAAATAAGTAAGTAAGCAAGCAAGCAAATAAACTGCAACCCACCCACCTAAACCCCTTCAATTTGTTCATGTCACAAAGCACTGCAGAGCAAGTCAACACCGACAGTGAAAGAAGTGCAATAGGACCTGAAGGAACGGTGATGGCAGGAAAGGGATTTTCTGCCGATATACATTTTTTCTCCATCTGCTGAAATGGGGGGAAAGGAACCAGCAAACGCAATGACATTTAGACAGGTTTCTCTTTTGCATATCGCTCGTTTCAACAAGAAGCAACTGCCTTTTCACCTACTGAAAAAGCTCTTCCAAATCTGTTAGCCTAACATGAACTGGATCAGCTCTAAAAACTTAAGAAGATTTATGGAGAGAGAGAGAGAAAGAGAGAGAGGAAGAGAGAAAGAACAGATTGTGTGCTTCCCCACCCCCTCTCTCCCCGTGATGAAATTTAATACAATCTGGCATATTACAAAGTGCCCAGAATTCCCATTTTAACAGATTCTGCACCCGTCACCTTTTGTAGTTTCCAGCAACTACTCCCCAGTGGGGATGAGGGGAGGGAATGAAGTGATCAAAACGATACTGTGTTCCATTACTTTATCCAAATGGTTAAAATGTGCAATTCCAGCCAGAAGAGGTTGGTAGTTTTGAGTGGTTCGGTTTAGAGAACGGGATTAAATTGTTTCTGCTTGGGAGACTTCAAGCAGCTCCCCAGAGACTTGTTCAGCACTGAAATTCAGTATTCAGTTTACTAGACTCGTGGGTCAGTAGCCTTGAGAATGGGCAACTGGAGCAGCAATTCCTTGTTCCCACTTGGACCATTCATTGGATAAAAATATGGGACAGTAGATAACTCAGAATGAATCCTAATGTTGTGTTCTGTTAGGGAAGAACCAACTCTCTCCTAGTTGACCTTTTCCAGTGCTCCCAGTTCATCAGAAACAGCTGCTGTTCCGTCATTCATGTCCCTAGTCTAGAGGTTGCAAAAGAGGCACTTGCAAAGGTGTTTCCAGGAACTGGCAAAGTTCCGTCCCAGACAGTCAGCTTGATATAAGTATTGCAGTCTTTGTGGTGTGTGGTGCAAGAATTTCTCTGGTTTGCCAATGTGTCCACTGGTTGAAAAAGTTAGGCCTCCCCTGACTTAGCCCCATCCATGCTATAACTGAAAACACTGTGTTGCCGCTTTAAACAGCCATGGCTTCCCCCAAGGAATTATGGGAGCTGTAGTTTGCTAAAGGTTCTGAGAGTTGTTAGGAGACCCCTTTTCCCCTCGTAGAGCTGCACTAGGAAGAGCTTGGGTATTGTTTTATTTTTTAAAAAACCCTTCTTTCCTCTACCTCACCCCCAACTGCATGTTTAATAACATTTCAAACCTTGCTTAAACATGCTGTTGGGAGGACAGAGAATCAGGACAGCCTCTCTCCACTCTTCTGTGGGGGCTGTGCAAGGCCCCCAGTTCAATTCAGGGCCTGGATTGGGGCAGGCCTGGGTTAGATCGGGGTAGGGGGTGGGAGACATTACAGCTTTACTGTTATGTACTGAAGTTCTCACCCTGGGCCAGGAGGGGGATACTGTAGATAGTTATGCAAATGAAGGATCGAAAGTGACGTTCAGTGATTGGATAGTTTTAGAAAGTTGTTACAGTAACGTGGTGCTGGAGCTCTATATAAGCAGGCTGACTGAGCCCTTCAGTTCAGTTCTGTCCTGGCCTCTGAATAAACAAGAGCTGTTTTGAAGAATCGCTGTGTCGTCTGATATGTTCACCCACAACTTAACACTTACATCGATCACATAGTTTCCATCATATGCTGAAGCTGCACAACTATATTCTGACCTTTGAAAATATGAATTTCTGTATCCTTCTGAACTGTTTAAACTTATTTTTGTGGAGTTAACGCTCCGCTTGTGCTGAGGCACCCCCCGCCCCCAGCATGCAATAGTGTGCCAAGCAACCTGGCGCCCACACTCCCTGAACTTCTGCCTCTTGGCTAGCAAACAGGGTTTTCCCCCTGACCGTTTGTCCTCTCACAAATTTGGTTACTAGACATAACGCTTGGCTGGAGCATGACCGGGGACGCAGATGTAATCAAGTATCAGAAAACATTTTAGGGAAACACCTGCTAACACGTGTATTTGCTAATGCTGGAAATGTGCTTAGATGGAAATACGTCATGTTCAGAGTGGTTTCACTACTGTTTCCAATTGTTGACTTCTGCTAATAAAAGGAGCCTCTGTGGAACTAGCCGGCAGCCTGCTTGGAGCATGCTTGCCAGTGTGCTTCTGCACAGCTCACCTGCATCCAACCTCCTGTCATCTCCACTATTCCTACAGATTTTAATACTGTATTTTTATACCATTCAGCTTGCACTGGGGCCTTGTGGTGAAGAGCAAGTAAGAAATTCGAAATCACCATCAACAACAAGACTATCACTGTCGTCATCCTTGCAGTGCACAATGCACAGCAGCTGTTGAGGAAATGTTGAAATGCGGATAGTATCTTGTAAGGAGCTTTGTGTTTTTCTCCTAGGTCTTCAATCCAAAGAGAACACAGAGCTTTCTCCCCACATTCCAAGACAAGGCACAAGGCAGCGAGAAACCACAAGTTCTACTATTTTTCCTGCACATGGCTTGACTGAACCTAAACCAGGCTAAAGCAAACCCCAGAGATTAGGTTTTGACATCAAAGCAAGCCACAAAACCACCTTCTTAAAAAACAAGTTGCCTTATACTGAGTCAGATGACTGGTGCATGTAGCTGAATATTGTCTAATAATACTAATACTAATAATCATTTATTATTTATACCCCGCCCATCTGGCTGGGTTTCCCCAGCCACTCTGGGCGTCTCCCAGCAGAATATGAATAATAATAAAGAGATAAAACAAATCATTAAAAACTTCCCTAAACAGGGCTGCCTTCAGATGTCTTCTAAAAGTCAGGTAGTTTATTTCCTTGACATCTGATGGGAGAGCGTTCCACAGGGAGCATGCCACTACTGATAAGACCCTCTGCTTGGTTCCCTGTAACCTCACTTCTCACAGTGGGGGAACCACCAGAAGGCCCTCAGAGCTGGACCTCAGTGTCCGGGCTGAACAATGGGGGTGGAGAAGCTCCTTCAGGTGGAAGACACAAGAGCTACCCACACTGGAGGAATGGCAGATGAAAATGATGGACTACATGGAATTGGCGGAAATGACTGGCAGAATCCGTGACCAGGGAGAAGAGTCGGTGGAAGAAGATTGGAAGAAATTCAAAGATTATTTACAGAAATATTGCAAAACTAATGAATGTTAGAGTGATGTTGGATTGAAATTAAGTGGCTTCTAGCTGTACAGGCTTTAAAGTTATAAATATATCAAGATTAAGGATTAGGATTAAAAGGTTAAAAGAATGGAAAAATGGGTTTTTAATAGGTAAAAATTTAATGTTATACTATATTAAGATTAAGGATTGGGATAAAAAAGGAGGAAAGGAATTGCTGGACTAACAAACTGAATTGGAATACAAAAGAGGGAGGTATGAGGAGGTCCGGGAAACAAGTAAATGTAAAAAGTAGTGATGAAAAGAGGGAATTGTTTTTAACTGTTTTTTCTTTTTTCTTTTTGTATTTTGCATTGTGTATTTTTCTTTTTATTCTTGAATTTTTCTTTTTATGTTGATGTGATTCTTTCTTTGTGAAACTTTAATAAATATCTTTTTTTTAAAAAAAAAAAAAAAGAGAGAGAAGCTCCTTCAGGTATGCTGGGCCGAGGCAATGGCCCTTCAGGTAGGGAGCCTTTGCTAGACCTACCTGTTGATGCTGGGAATTGAACCTGGACCTTCTGCATGCAAGTGAATGATCTAGCACTGACCTATGGCCCTTCTCCAAAGGAAGATCTGCTACTGGTAGCGATGTGTGTATTGAATCTTGATGCCCTCTTAGGTATGGTTACATACCTGGGTTTTTACAGGTTTTAACTAATGCATATGAAGCTGTCAAATGGCATTGGTTCATCTAGCTCATTATCACCTACACTGACTTGTCTGCAGCTCCCTGTGGTTTTAGAGAGGGGTCACTCCCAGCCCAACCTTGGGATGCTAGGAATTGAAACTGTGACCTTCTGCATGCAAAGCAGACGGTCTACCGCTGAGCTCCAGCCCTTCTCACCCAAGCAAGTGAGCCAAACACAACAACTTTTGTTTCCATCGGGTTACATGAGGCTAACTATATCATAAAGAAAGCCGGCAGAATGAAATAGTAAGCCCTGCATCTCTTATACTCGGAAGCTTCTTGGTGGGAGATGACATAAATTGTTTTCATATTTCACTTTGTGTGTGCGTGCGCGATCCGTGAACTCAAAATTGCTGTCAGGCGTCTGGCTGGTTTTAAAATTAATAATGTAGCCATTGTGAGCCAAAACCCAGTCCTTAAAAGACTATAACATGGATATAAAAATGGAGGAACAAAACAAGAGAAGTGTTAACTGGAGCTGAAGAGGTAGACATTCTATCAGTTATTTGATCAATGCTAATCCTATTGGACATTGAGGATTTTGTCCCTCTTCTGAGCTTGGGAAATGAATTTTGTTTTTATAGACGAGAAACAGCAGAACACACAACTCCTGTAAGCCTAGGTAAGCTGAGTAAAGGAACCTTTCCAGGGTATCAGCACAGCGTGGCTAAAATTTGCAACCTTCCCCATCGCTTCATTAACATTCATTGGCCCAACGGGAGCAGATATAACACACTGCCTTGCCTGCCAGTGCAAAGACTGGCATTCTGAGCAAGCATTTCAAGCTCACATTGGTTTAGGCTAGTTTCCCATTAGGCATGATCAGACTGGGGACAGGCTGTGCTGGGCCCAGGGGTAACCCAAAAACCATGGTCCAGGTCTGGTTCAGAATCCTAAGGTTCCACTAGGAGTCAGTCCGACAGGGTCAAAGCAGGAAACCAGGCAAGGACAGGGGCAGGATCTGGCATACAGCAATGTTGCTCCGACAAAATGGGGCAGGGTCCGACAGCCTTTTATCTTTGTTGGGGTAGCGGCCAGTCCTGATTCCCCGGCAACTCACCTCCCTGTTTTGCCTGAAGGCGAGTACTCCTCCTGCGAGTACCCAGGTATCTCCTTCTCTCAGACCTTAGTCTCTGCAGCTTGGGAGATGTCGCTGGGTTACTAGACCCAGGGGCCACCTCAGCCTCCCCTGACCAAACTGGTAGTGGGGCAGCTGTAAGTGATGGCCCAGCTGAAGGCAACAATATAATTCCCACATCTGGAGCCAGGGCAGGCTCAGGCCCCTGACTTGGCCCAGCTGGTGTTTGTTGCAGGGTAACCTGTGCAGACTGGGACTCTTCAGGATCAGGCCCCAGACTTGGTTCAGATGATGCCTGAGGCAAAGGATCCGGTGCAGACTGAGACTCCCCTGGTCCTGAATCTGAGCCCAAGTCCCAGGCCATCACACAGGCTGACTCATCCCTCATTGTGAACCAGAGATTGGGAATCTGTAGTTCTCCAGATGTTGCTGTACTACATCTTCCATTATCCTTGGTCCATCTAATCCAACAACCTGTTCTCACATTCGACAACCAGATGCCCATGGGAAACCCACAAGCAGGACGTGAGCACAAGAGCAATTCTCCCCACCTGTGGTTTCCAGCAACTGTTATGGAGAAGCATTGCTGTCTCCATACCTATTGCAAACCATCCTGCCTGGTATTTTGCCATTGTTGTCAAACCCACAGTAAATTAGAAACTTCCCTTGCATGTGAACAGGTGTGCCAACTTGAATAAAATGGGGGAGCAGGTGAGCCCCACCCTGCATAGTTGATCACATGATGTGGTGCACACACATGATTTGAATGGCAATACCCATAAGCTTGGGGGGCAGCCCCCTGGAATATTTTATGGGGGGGGCTGAAGACCCCTCAGTCCCTAGGAGTTGGCTCCTATGCATGTGAAGACAGGCTCTGGGAGACTGAGTGGACAAGACCAATAGTAGATCCAAACGTCAAGAAGACGGGTTCTGCACTTGTTGTAGAGGGAAGTGAGGGACAGATGGGGAAGTAGCCCATCTAGGAGAAAGAAAACTTTGATCTGAAACTTCTGCTGCCTTGCAGGATACATTCAGGATAAATGTGACTCATTGAAACAGCTACTTATACCTCAGTACAGTGGTACCTCAGGTTACAGACGCTTTAGGTTCAGCCGCTTCAGGTTACAGACTTCGCTAACCCAGAAATAGTACCTCGGGTTAAGAACTTTGCTTCAGGATGAGAACAGAAATCGTGCAGTGGTGGCATGGCGGCAGCAGGAGGCCCCATTAGCTAAAGTGGTGCTTCAGGTTAAGAACAGTGTCAGGTTAAGACTGGACCTCTGGAACAAATTAAGTTCTTAACCTGAGGTACCACTGTATTTGATTGACCCTCATCAATGACAAGGTCATTCTGAAGCTTGAACTGAGACCTCTTTCATGTCTCAAGACAATATCCCCCAGTCTATTTTGTTTTCCAGAAGGGGCAGGGAACTCTGGCCCAGTACAAAACTCACATATAAAAACTGTGAGGGATTTTGAAGTTCTGGAGCAGTGACAGATCTTGGCATCTCAAATTTCAGCCAGCATTCATCACTCCCTCACCTCTCACCTTTGACTAAACATCATAGTTGCAGATCCCACGTGGCTCCCCCAAGGCTCTGAACTGCTCACATTCCCCTAAACTTTCCTCTGTTTTGTGCTTCATGGTCTGAGATTATATCTTTCCCTTGTCATCTTCCTAGAGTTGTGAGTGCCCATGCTTTGGGCACAGACAACAACAAGGTCCCTGCAAATTCAGCACAGGCCTCTGAAATTGGCCAAAAACATTCTAATGAGATTGAGGGTTGACCTGGATGATGGCAAGATCGCCTCCAATTCATTGATTCTATAGTTGTAAAGTTGTGTTGGGGGATAGAAGAGCTACCTAAGTAGTTAAACCTGACAAAATGGTTTGGCTTTCTTATGTAAGGAAATAAGAATGGATCATGCCAAAGACCCATCTAATCCAGCACTGTATTCACAACCAAATGCCCACGGGGAGCCCACAAGCAAAATCTGACCTCAGTGGAAAGGTAACAACACCAACCCTGTATACCACCCATGAGAATATCACCAAAATGAGCTCCGATAATTTACAAGTGCCTTTTCTTTTCTTGTTAATTAATGAAGGAGGGTTGGGGAAAGACTGGGTTTCAGCACATAACTACCGTATTTTTCTCTCTTTAAGACGCACCAGACCACAAGATGCACCTAGCTTTTTGGAGAAGGAAAACAAGAAAAAAAATATTCTGAATCTCAGAAGCCAGAACAGCAAGAGGGATCCCTGCACAGTGAAAGCAGCAATCCCTCTTGCTGTTCTGGCTTCTGGGATAGCTGCGCAGCCTGCATTCGCTCCATAAGACGCACACACATTTCCCCTTACTTTTTAGGAAGGAAAAAGTGAGTCTTATAGAGCAAAAAATACGGTAGTTGCAACACCCTTACCCAGATGGTCACCGCACCTCAAGCCATCCTTAAAGCCAGGCAGACCTGCTCAATTATTCACAGCGAGGAAAGCTGTTGCCAAATTGAATAACGTTGGCTAGCCATTTTGCAAATTAGCTACTTGGTGGCAGAAATGTGATTATTTACAGCTCTTTTCATTATTCGGAAAAAAACCCCCAAACCTTCTCGACTCCGTGTTTTCCAAAGGCACATCAGATCGCAGCCTCTCCTCTTAATTGTCTGGAGAAAATGCAAGTCACATTTCCCCCATTCAATGGGCACTTTCTGAGCTAAGCTGGATCTGATTACTCTTCCGATCCGAACAGTTATCAGAGCAGACAGAGCAGGGAGGCCTCAGCTGAACCGCCTCACACCCAAAGTGACAATTGGATGTCAGGACTTGAATTTGTCAGTAGCCGGCAGCAGGGTGAGTCGGAAGGTTTCTGAAGGGGATAATATGGGTGTGTGTGTGAGTGGAGGACATTAGCGGCACTTCAGAAAGAAAGCAGTGCTTTCATTCTCCGTTCTGTAGAGACTCCTGTGCATGATCATTACGGAAGCAGACAGATCTCCTAATTTGCGTTACACCTCAAACTTGGACTCAGGGGCTCGGCCCTTATTTAATTATGTGTTTGGTGACTCAGAGCAATGAGGATCAGCAGGCAGAACGTCACAAGCAGAGTCCCCAAAGAGTTGGCCTTGTGTCTGCAACTTGACCCAACAGTGCTGGGCAGGAAGTTTCACACACTGGCATTGCAACTCTGGTACACATTTGCAGAGTTCACAAAATGGAAACAGAATGCATCGGAGGCATATTAAGATCCAAAACGGTGTGTCATGGTCTTCCTCCTGAAGCATGAACAGAAGCACAGTGATGAGTCATGGTTGCATACCACATGCACAACTGGCTCGATTGAACACCATGTTCCCAAGAGCTCAGTAGATCCAAATCATTGCTGTCTGTTACATGTTATCAGCATATTATTGTATTCCCTATCCGAAAGGGAAGGCTATGTAGATATGAATGACAGTTGCATATCACCTGTGAAGTTGGCTCAATTGTGCAAGATGTTCCTCATTCAAAAGTACGGCATCCACGTCACCAGGAGATTGTAACCGCAGAGATAAGGAAAGAAGAGTCATTCCGTTGTCTGGAGAGGTCACTTCCTGGTTTGCATGGAGAAGCCATTTCAACCAGTGACAAAAGCATGCAGCTTTATTGAGGCAGCACTGGGTGTCAGGATTTTGCACTCCTAACCATTTTGTACCTGGGGCAACCGCCCCTGTGCCCCCTATGCTATGCAAAATTGAGAAGATCCGTAATTGAGAAGATCCATTTTGGAGTGCCAAATTTTGGGCTCACTCAGGGTGCCATATTACCAAAGATTACCACAGTACACCCCTGATGCCACCTCCACATAGGAACAGAAAAATAGCCCTGATGGATAAGGTCAAAGGCCCATCTAACCCCACACTGTTCTCTCACAGTAGACAAGCAGATGTCTATGGGAAGCCGACAACAAGGACCTGATTGCAACATCACTCTCCTCATTTGCAGTTCCCTGCAGCGGGAGTTTGAAGGCATCCAGGAGAAGGATTGGAAAATGTCAATTGTGAGGGGAAATGCATTTGGAAATGCAGATTTAGAGAAAATGTGCTCAGAATAATAATTAAAGTTTCGTGTAGATTTGCAAATAATAGTAATAATAATTTATTATTTATACCCCGCCCATCTGGCTGGGCTTCCCCAGCCATTCTGGGCGGCTTCCAACCAAATATTAAAATACAGTAATGCATCAAACATTAAAAGCTTCCCTAAACAGGGCTGCCTTCAGATGTCTTCTAAAAGTCTGGTAGTTGTTGTTCTCTTTGACATCTGGTGGGAGGGCGTTCAACAGGGCGGGTGCCACTACCGAGAAGGCCTTCTGCCTGGTTCCCTGTAACTTGGCTTCTCACAGTGAGGGAACCACCAGAATAATAATAATAATAATAATAATAATAATAATAATAATAATAGAAATTGCAAACTGATGTGGAAATGGGACATGGCAGATTTATGAGTGAACACATATGGAACTGACATGGTCCAAAAATAGAAGGATTTGCCCATTCCCAGCTCACATCACAGCCTATATTTGACCCGCTTCCTCTTAGGGTTTTTGTCACGCCTCTGATTCCACGAAAAGAGTCTCCTCCAAGGAAAATCCTCTTTAGCAAAGATGCCGTGTGCGACTGCGAAGTCACACACGACCAACTACATTATCCACTGATCATGTATTTCACTTCGCATTACATTTGAACGTGACAACATGTCGCCACAACAGCTTTGACATTTTGGGCATGGCAGGCTAATGGCTGCTCCAGGCCCCTCCATCTCTCTCTCCAGGGCACACTGGACCAGATCAAGCCCACATGCGACCGCTTTTGTTCTGTGCGCTGGTTAAGGATCCTGCGACTAATGCACTGCAACAGACAAGGGCAGATTTATTGTTCGGAATGCCCGCCTCACCGTGTAGCTGAGAAGCCTGGAAGGAATAGGACTGGGGAAAATGTTTACAGATGGCAGAGCTTGGAAAGGCTTCTGCCCACTGGCACATGAAAACAAGCGCAGAGATTCGGTGCAGTGTGTGTGTGTGGATAAAGCTTAGGGGACAAATTCCAACACAGTAGTTGAGCTAGTCTGTAGGAGTTATGATACCTGTGACAGGGAGATGACACTTCACAGTGTGAGTGTCTCAGAGGAGGAGGGAAGCAGCTGACAAGTTGTGCTGCGGAGCAGGAGACATCAATAGACATTAGGACCCAGAGGGAGCTGACAGAGCAAGATGCTGTAAAACATGGACCGAGAAGAATTTAATGCCGCCCGCATTTTAAAGCAAGCCTTTTTGACCTAACTGACCTCATTCACACCTCCTAGACTAACACACAGATTGGAATGTGATTTGCACTTTGGTTTTTGCCCTTGTCTAATTCTTTTTCTATATAGTTCTAGGTTCAATAACACACCAACATGCATTTGTATTTGTGTGTGTGTGTGTGTGTGTGTGTGTGTGTGTATTGCTATTTTTCTGGAAAAAGGTGCCAAAACTCACCAGGAATGCCTCCCTTGTTCTCTTAGAATGGCGATGATGCCTTCCTGAGAGGTGCTGGAACTGAGTTCTGGTGAGTTCTGGCTGAAAAAAAGCCCCGTATTGCGTGTGTGTGTGTTTGTGTGTATGTCACACACACACACATACACACACATACACACATACACACACGACTATTATTATTACATGTTTATGTTTTATATTTATGTTATCATTTTCCTTTTCATTTTGTGAATGAATGTAACAGAGTACGTGTTGACAGTGGGATATACAGTGGTACCTCAGGTTAAGAATTTAATTCATTCTGGAGGTCTGTTCTTAACCTGAAACTGTTCTTAACCTGAGGTACCACTTTAGCTAATGGGGCCTCCTGCTGCTGCCGCATGATTTCTGTTCTCATCCTGAAGCAAAGTTCTTAACCTGAGATACTATTTCTGGGTTAGTGGAGTCTGTAACCTGAAGCGTATGTAACCCGAGGTACCACTGTAACAGAAAAGCAAATAAAATAATTTTTTTAAAAAGAAAAAAAGCCCTGTATGTGTATGTGTCTGTGTCTGTTTGTACATACATATATATATATATATATATATATATTACACACACACACACACACACACACACACACAGTATATGGATTAAGTTCATTTAGAAAAGCCCTGTATATATATGAAGTTTATTTAGAAATATGTATATTGAGATTCCATGTGAGTTTTTTATTCAGTATTTTATGTTAATGTTCCTATAACTAAAGTTCTGTGATGCTTTAATGAATTTCCTCTGTACTGTTTTGGTATATTTTGTGTTGGCAGGTTATAAATTGTCAGATACACTGGCAGGCATGAGAGTTTCCCCTTCTCTCTGAAAGCTTCCGGTGAGAATTAACGAGCCTCTGGCAGGTTTATAGTTCGTTTTATTTACAACAGCATACAGATAGCAGCCTATGGCCACCCTCCATCAGGATACCAGCTGGTCAATCTGAATCCCCTCCCCTTCCACAGCAAGAAGTGCGCCAGCGTCCAGTTCTCCCTCCCCTGTACTTCTGTTGTTCTTTAACCCTTTCAGCCCTCCGAGTTCGGGGGGAGGGAAGGAATCCCCCCACACACTTGAATGAAGAGCCTTCCAAACGCTCCCTATCTGCTGGTTGCTTAGCTACTATCTCAGAGCTGTGCAACTCTTCCCCTGATTGTCTGGCCACTGAATCTACTGCTGGGGATGTTGGGGGGGGGGGCTGGCAAATCCTCCCCTCCTTCCTCTGTCTGTGACAGCATTCCTCCACCTTCAGAGTCAGACCAGCCCCTGACATAAATATGCTTATAAATACATCTATACATATTTAAATAAATTTTCATGTGATTTTTTTAAAAGACTAATGCAAAACTGGGGTGAGAAAAGGCTTTTGAATAAGCATATTTAAAATTGGCATGCCATGGAAAGAGATGGGCATGGGATGGGAAACCCGATTGTGGTAGTTATCAAGAATATTTCCCCCCTTATCTGTTGGCATTAGTGCTGTGCTCCCCCATATCTGATTCAGGTACCAAAGTTTTGCTCTGGAGTAGCCCCCATCTGAAAGAGAAGGTTGGCAGCAGTGGGGGAGATGATCTGTCTGCCCTGGTGTCATTTGTTTCATTTGAAGACCCATCTCTTACAAAGTTCTCAACATCAACGGCTTGGTTAGGCAGCTGCTGTTGAGTTTTATACAATCATCTGTCATCAATGCAATTTCTTCATTGCTGGACGTCACTTCCAGTTATCTCAGGGACAAGATTTCTGAGAAGCGCAGACAATTATGCTGTTAGCCTTTCTGTTCCCAATGAACCCAGGAAGGCTGCCTTTCTTTCCGGGATTCCGTAAATGATTTCAGACATAGTTCAATTTCTTCCTTGACGAGTGAAAACAAGGCTGGGATCAGAATAGATGCTTACATTCAAAAAGGACAGGCTTCCCCACAAAGAATCATGGGAACCAGGGTCAGATTTAGGTTTGATGAGGCCCTAAGCTACTGAAGGTCCTTTATATGTCCAGCTGTCCTTTGTCAACAACAAATAGTCACTGTTTTTGTGTGTGTTGAATATATGCTATATGGTAATATATGGACCTAATAGGTATTTAAAGCCATTTGCCATGCAACCAGTCCATGCAAAATGTAGGCACCCTATATATAGAAAGGAGCAAACGAGTGATATTTTAGGGAACAGGCTAGCAGGCGGGACCCATTACTTACATCTTAGGAGTCTACACAACACAAAACACTGTTGCTGTATGTAGGTTTTATTTTATTTGTTTTTTATCTTATATTTTGGAAATGTACATGCAGTTTTTTTCTTTAATTTTTTGGTGGAGGTGCAAGAGAGTGGAGCCCTAAGCTGTAGCTAGTTTAGCTTATATGTAAATCTGGCACTGATGGGAACTGTGGTTTATTAAGGGTGCTGGGGACTGTAGCTCTGTGAGGGGTAAAGCTACAGTTTTACCCAATAGACACAGTTTGTTCCAGATGTATAAACAACAATAAAGAAGGCTGATCACCGAAGAACTGATGCTTTGGAATTATGGTGCTGGAGGAGACTCTTGAGAGTCCCATGGACTGCAAGAAGATCAAACCGATCCATTCTGAAGGAAATCAGCCCTGAGCGCTCACTGGAAGGACAGATCCTGAAGCTGCGGCTCCAATACATTGGCCACCTCATGAGAAAAGAAGACTCCCTGGAAAAGACCCTGATGTGGGGAAAGATGGAGGGCACAAGGAGAAGGGGATGACAGACAAGGCCAGCCCCACAAGGTCGGGGGACAGAGGGAGGCGGAACGCCGCCATCCCGCTGTCTCCCGAAGTGGTTTGGAGGCTGACGGCGGGGAGACCCCGCCGCCAGCCCCGCAAGCTCCGGGGACAGCTGGGAGGCGCAGCGCGTCTCCCCGCTGTCCCCGGACCTGATCTCTAGGCGGGCGGCAGGGAGAAGAGCGCTTCTCCCGCTGCCTGCCCCCAGCTCCGGGGACAGCTGGGAGGCGCAGCATGTCTCCCCGCTGTCCCCGGACCTGATCGCAAGGCGGGCGGCAGGGAGAAGAGCGCTTCTCCCCGCTGCCGGCCCCACAAGCGCCTGGGGGGGAAATAATTTTTTTTCTTTATTTCTCCCCAAAAAAACTTGATGCGTCCTATGGGCCGGTGCGTCCTATGGTGCGAAAAATACGGTATTTATGTACGCAACAACAGCCATACGGATGTTACTAGCCCAGAGGTGGAAAGAAGAAATAATCCTGACCAAGGAAGAATGCCAAACCAAGGTGATGGACTATGCTGAAATGGAAAAAAATAACTGGAAAGCTCAGGAACCAAGAAGACAAGAACGTTAAGAAAGAATGAGGGGAAAAAAATAATTTACTTAGGAGACCATTGCAAGCAGATGAAAACCTTAGCAAGATTTTAATCTCCCTTGTAAGGTGAAAAAGACTATGGACAATTCAGATGGATAAAAAATGTGGACAACAGATTGATATGCAGTTGTAAATGTCGACATTGGACCCATGGAGGGGATAGGGAGGAGTTTGGAGATTCAGATAAATCTCTTTATATGGGTTTGTAATTTATTTTGTTATAAATTTGTATTTGTAAAATCAAATAAAAATTATTTTGAAAAAAAGAGAGATCTGCTCTTGTATCTGACCCTTATCTCCTCATGATTCATTGGACTTATTTCTATCTGTTGCATGCAGCTTAGGAAGCTACCTTGTACTTAGTCAGATCACTGGTCCATCCTGTGCAGTATTTTCTGCTCCCCGGGGCTTCTGACTTTTTTCAGCCCTACCCAGAGGTATGAGGGATTGAACTACAGACCCTCTGTGTGCAAAGCAAATTATCCACCACTGTCTGGCTGTGAGTCCTGGAATGTTAAGTATAATTGTTTAATTGGACATGGAAATTAACTCTGCTTGTGTCTGTATGTATACAGCTGAAAGGGACGTAACAGTATCACTCTATTCTGCCTTGGTCAGACCACCCCGGTATACTGTGTCCAGTTCTGGGCACCACAATTTAAGAAGGATGTTGACAAGCTGGAACGTGTGCAGAGGAGGGCAACCAAGATGATCAAGGGTCTGGAAACCAAGCCTTATAAGAAATGGTTGAAGGAGCTGGGTAGGTTTAGCCTGGGCAAGAGGAAACTGAGAGGAGATATGATAGCCACCTTCAAATATCTCAAGGGTTGTCACACATGGAAGAGGGAGCATGCTTGTTTTCTCCTATTCTGGAAGGTAGGACTTGAAGCAATGGCTTCAAGTTACAAGAAAGGAGACTCTGATTAACGTCAGAAATAACTCTCTGGTAGTCTCCCTTAGGAGGTAGTGGACTCTCTTTCACTGGAAGTTTTTAAGCATAGGTTGGATGGCCATCTGTCATGCATGCTTTAGCTGGGATTCCTGCATTGCAGGGGGTTGGATTAGATTATTCTTGGGGTCCCTTCCAACTCTACAATTCTAATATTCTAAGAAAGCATGGTATGGAAAGTTCCACTGAATCAAAACTAAAAAGTTGCAGAGAGCCTAACAGTTAATGATTAGCTGACAATATATCTCTGCTAGCTCTCATGAGGTGTTTAACTTAGATCTCGTGAGGAGTATTCAATTACAGGTCTTCATTTGGGGTGTGTCCTCAATTTGAAGTAAGCAAAGAGAAAGGATGAACAAATGATTATCTCTTCAGGAAAACAGCTTCAGACTGGAATGCAAGCTGTTTTGCAAGATAGAGCTTTGATTTCCACTCTGAATGAAGTCTTTTCATATTTCTAAGATGTTCTACCTGTGCTGGGATCATCACATGATATTACGCAACCATCTGGGTGTAACTGTATTTGTTTGATGTCTGTTTTGGAACAAGTTCTGCTAGTAAAGCTTTTGAACCATATTTTTGGACTTGGCAATTTTTATTTTAAGAAGAGTCAGGTTTTTTTTTTCATTCTATTGCTTCCAAATGCACAATATTAATAACCACGATATGGAATATCTGCTTGCAGGTTTTTCCCACCTGGCTTAGGAGGGCAGGGCCCTGACTGACTCCAGCTACAAAAGCTGAGGCTGCTGAAGAGGCCAGAGACCATCTTGACTGTAAGTCCTAGAAGACCTGCTCCTTGCCTTGCAGACCGTTTTTCATCTGGCCTAGTCCTAACTAACTCCAGCAATTTGGCTGTGTACATTTTGATGTTCTATATATTGTGTATGGCAATTCTGTGCTGTTTTGCATTGAGTAACCTTTTTTGTGTTGTAAGCCACCTTGAGCATGGTTTTAACTGTGGAAAGGCAGCACAGTGGTACCTCGGGTTACATATGCTTCAGGTTACATACACTTCAGGTCACAGACTCCACTAACCCAGAAATAGTACCTCAGGTTAAGAACTTTTTTTCAGGATGAGAACAGAAATCGTGCTCCAGCAGCGCGGCAGCAGCAGGAAGCCCAATTAGCTATAGTGGTGCTTCAGGTTAAAAACAGTTTCAGGTTAAGAACAGACCTCCAGAACGAATTAAGTACTTAACCTGAGGTACCACTGTATTCAAATAAAATGATGTATGTATGTATGTATGTATGTATGTATGTATGGTTCACTTCAGATCTTTTGGACTACAACTGCCATTAT